TTACATCATTAATTTCTACAAAAGACTGTAGGGAAAGTAAATGAAGGTAAAACCTTTATCATTTTGGCAATGGCTTACAGCTGGGACTTTAAAAAAAAATAAATCAAAGGCTCGATTTTGGCTGCTTAAGAGCCAAATGCAATCAAGGCCAGAGTTGAAAAATGCATTATCAATGATTCAAAGTGCAGATTGTGCAAAAAGGCAGATGACAATAGTAGATTATATACTCACCTACTGCAAAAAAGATCACATAAATTTATTATAAACAGCAACATAACATAATTGCCAAAATGATTCATTGAAACATCTGTAAAAATTATCAGTGCAGTAATGAAACAATGTAGTTGAACAATGTAGTTGAAAATTAGCAGGTTAAAATATTGTGGGATTTGAGAAATCTTTAGCTCATAACACACCAGATTTATCTGGGGTTGAAAAGAAGAAAGTGTGGATAATAGATGTGGCAATACCAGGAGATAGTAGAATAGAACACAAAGAATTGCAGGAGATCAAAAAGTATCAAATCTGAACATCCAATTATGGCTTAAACTGGCCATGGTGGTGCCAGTGGTTATCAGCACACTGGATGTCATACAAAAATGTTGGATGCCACTTAGAAAATCTGCAGATTGACAAAATTTCTATCAATTAGAAATAGCACATTGCCTGGATCCACACATAAATTGCACTGATACATTCTAGGTTCTTGGAAAGGACTAAGTGCATAAAAGCCAACAACAGCTAAAGAATTTGCAGCTGTGATTTCACATTTTTGTATATACAGTAATAATAATGTAAACTTGTGTGCACAAATGGATTTTACTGTTTATCCCTCCTCCCCAGTAAAAAAAATCATATCAGTTGAGAGAATGTATTTCTAATTGTTCAGTTTAAACAAAATGTTATAACAAATAATTAAGTCCCTTATTATACAGGAGGGCTGGAAGAGGCAAAGAGAGAAGTGTTTAAATCAGAAATGAAATTAAAAATTAAGATGCAGCATTAAAGTAAAATAATATTATTACGAAATGTTACTTGGTACCAAGCTCATTTTGGAGTTTCATAAAACAACTGAGAAATTGTCAAGGAAGCTAAAATAATTTTTCCTATAATTCCAGGAAAGATGTTGCCCATTATCCAATTTGTATTAAATTTTTGCTTAAAGTGAAAAATTTAGTAATATATTAACTGGTATTATTTATTTATACCAGTGAAAGACAGAAGGCAAATAAAATCCAGCTTTAGATGTGCTCAAGTTTAAAACATAATGCTTAAATTTGCCTTTTGCTTAGGCGGAATGTTTCCTCTTGATAATTGAGATCATGTTCCAGGACATTTCCTTCTTCTTCAACCATTTGAGTCCAGCTTCTTAGTTAAATCTAATATATAATTTATTAATATAAGGTGAATTGAAATCTATACTACATTTATCCTAATTGACCATTGAAAACACAATTTTGATACTGATTTCTAATGAAGGTTAAGAAGTATGCAGAAGTATGATTATGGAAACAGTTTCTCAGGTAGCTAAAGGAATATAAGACAGATTTTAAAAAGGAAGTCAGCCATCAAGAGCATATTGTAGCACAATTTATCTGCTAGATTTGAGAAGCAGATATTTATAGGCCTTTCTCTTTTCATCCATCCTAAGAATGAGAACACATCATTCACTGGATGTGTTGTTTATAGTTTCATAAAGCTCTTCCATGACAGCTTTTATTTTATCTAGTGCTTAATACCCATAAAATCATCACATAGCAAATGAATGGAATAGTCATAGTCTAAACGGGACTGATTCCTATGGAATATTTTATAGATAGAGCCATTTTATTTGGAACAGTAGGTCAAAGGGTACAAATCTGCAGCATAAATTCTTATTTTGGGCTGTCAGAAAAAGGTAAAAGGTATGTAATGGCTCTGATTGAATTTTTCTATAGTAACTGGAATTCTCTCTCATGATTCAGTACATAACTATGGATACAGATATAGAATCCTCATCAGAAAGAAATTCTAAAAGCAAATAATTAGAAATTTAGAAACAATAATTCATTAGAGTCAGTTCCTTGAAGTGAGGGAATTTGAAGGTAAACCTCTCATAAATACTGAAAATTACAGACAAAGTATTCCTACATGATATCAACACTTTTTCAATAAGCCAAATAAATAGTAATAGTAAGAATAATGTAACATTTACAATTGATAGTTAATTGTATAAATTACAATCTATAAAATATAAATTGACTGCAATGGTATAGATTACAGTTGATTTATAATAAAAATCTTTTTGTTGTAAACACTGGGCTGAGTTATTTTGGTTCTGACATGTTTCTTCAAAAGAATAAAATACATATTTCAGAATATGTTACTGTGAAATATTTTCATGAAAAGGATAAACAGGCAAGCTTTATACATTCTGTTTGTCTCCCTTTTTTGCAAGTGAAAGCACTGCTTATTTTTATAAAACCTTCATTATTATTTCTATGAGTTAGTAGGTTTGTTTTTCTATTAGTTATTAAAATCAAATTTTAAACCTCTGCCTATTATTTGATGCTTACACTGAAAAAGATGAACCTTACTTAGTTTTCTCCATACTAACATTCAATAGCTCTTGAAGTACTGCAGCAAGAATCTTTTCAGGTTTCATTGGCAGTCTCAGGAACTCAGTTTACTATCTTTAATATTCAAAACATGAATTCCATCAATGAGAAGAGATGTCCATCCCCATTCCAATCTCAATTCAGTTTCAAGAAAGTCTTCAGAGGGCCAACAGGCAGGGAGAACAATACTCATGTTTTAATTTCCAATGCAAATTTGAGATTATTAAGGAAATCCCACAGAAATGTGGATTTCTATCTAATTTTTTCATTGGCCACTGAGGAACTATATTCAGAAAAATAAGAGATTTGTCTTGTTTTAATAGTTTATCAGTGGGAAGAAACAGTGGAAATAATTGCAGGTGCAATTATCTCTATTGAGATGTTTAAATATATAATATTGTCCAGAGAAAGAGACGATGCTTACAATGGACTAAAACAAGAGACAGAGTTATCTTTATTTCTAGTTCTCCAGAGGTTAATGAACCACATGGGTCAGCCTCTTCATAACCAAAGGAGAAGAATGCTGGTTCTGAAATTCAGTAAGAGGAGGCTTTTGTCTTCCCCAGTCATTGCACAGGTTGTAATTTAATTGAATGAAAGGATGTCATAACCAGATTCTCAAAGCACAATTCAGGAAGAGAATGAAAGCAGCCAGCCTTTTCTTCTCTTTTCTCATCCTAGCTGAAAAAGTACCAGTAGGAGGGACACAGGAGTGTATGTGAGAGAAGGCAGGTTTGCTTGCATATCGAATCCCAAGTCTGAGACTGCCATTAGGAGCTTCTGTAAATTGTTAGGTAAAGAACAGCTCCGGGCAGCCACAATGAGCCTGGTTTTCTACTGTGTATCCAACAGGATTTCTGATTGCATAGGAATCAGAACACTGTGGAATCTATACCTTTTATATACTGTTTACAGAACTGGAATAGCAAAGAGTAGGGAATGGCAGAATCAGACATTTGTTGAGATCATGTTGCCAAGGGCTGGATACTTTCATACTCTTGCACAATATGCCTGAGTCCAGAGGCTTCCACAAAACCCTCCTATTGGTCTCCATTAGTAATTCTACTAATTGGAGCAATTACGTGAAGGACTTACTACTGGGAAGGGAAGCCATTATACTTCTTAACACACCACAGTACATGCTGCTCTTTAATTAGAACAGTCACAGCCACTCACATGCTCAGAATTACTAGCTGAAAAGTTCATGGAACATGGGCTCTGACACACTCTTGATGTGGCCTCAGTTTTTTAGAGACAATAGTGCATCTGCCATGCATTACCATACCAGTGTCATAAGAGAGACAAATACTTTGCTTTTTTGTGGAATTTGAAATAAAATAGCCTTCATTTGATACTAGTACATTTTTACCAGGGACAGGTTCCAAATCCCATTGCTACCGGCTTGCTCTTGCGTGCACGCGGTGCTTCTGCACATGCCCAGAAGCATCCAGGCAGAGCCTGCCACCGCTGCTACTGGTTCGCCCAATCTGGTGTGAACCGGTAGCAACCCACCACTGATTTTTAGTTTCCAAACCATACCTACAGCTGGATTACACACTGCATATTATTTTTAGAAATATTGTGTATTTTTCTTGTGTAAATGCAATCATATCATGTATGATTATATGCATAACTATCTTATGAAGTATATTTTTATGTTTTAAATATTGTACCCATAAATTGATTAAAAGACTATTTAGTTATGCATCTAAGCCATTTTATTTATTCATTTGTTTATTATATTTTAATTTTTCCAGTTAACTGACTGGGGAAATTGTACAAAATTAGGTAACCTTTTTTATGGTACTATATGAAGTTTTCTAGAACTTGCTGATAGTCTCTACTATGGTGTAAGAATACTAACAGTACTAATTTGTCATTATATTTTTCAAAACAAGGGCCAAAACTCAGTACTAAACTCCCTGCTACATATATAGTAACTATTTTGTCTTTGGTATTTCCAGATATGAAGAGTTGTCTAGATAATACTAAACAAAATGAATCAGTGACAGAGTTTATGGCAATTTTTTATGTTTTTACATATGGGAAATATGTATTCTAGAAGTACCTTAGAACCATTTTAACATAATATGGAAAACAATGAATCACGTTACAGTAATTTAATGGAATCTTGGGCTAGAAAGACAACTGGACTTTCTTGGTTTTTTTCCTTGAAAACAACCAAGAAAGTCCAGTTGTATTTTGGAAAAGCATCTTCGGGGTAACAATGACCTGGATGGATGATTGAGAATCTCCATAAACATACAAAAAGAAAAAATAATGCCAACAGTCTAAATAATAAGAAAAATATGTGTCATAGAAATATCTGCTGTTCTTTTGAATATGATTCCCTTCATTTGATATTTGTTTCCATTTTTTTTCTTTTGTTCTTATTCCCATCAGACAACAGATGACCTCGTTTCTTCAGCAGAATGTTCTAACGATGATGAAGATTTCATTGAATGCGAGCAGAGTGTAGGTAAGCCAGGTCAGTCTTCTTTTTGGCTTGCTTTTTGCAATTGACAATGCCAATACATATATGTGGATCTGAATGTATACATATATATGTATGCTCATATATGTATACGTGACATATGTATATATGGATAGGAATGTGTACTAAATTGTCACTGTTTAAAGCCAAGCATCCAATCCCATGGAACTGGCAGGAGCAAAACATGAATGGGCCATCATGTTGGAAAGCCAACTTTGGAAAAAAAGAAAAGAAAACCAACTGTTTGAACTAGTGCCTGTTCAGTTTATTGTAAACCATTGTGCTATAAATTTGTAATGGTTTTTGAACTGGCTCTGGTGGGGAGAAAGGAAGCAGATTGACGATTTTTTCCTGAAATAATAATAAAGGTCTGACTATTAATTAACAAAAGAAATAGATAGAGAAAAAAGAGGTAGAACCATGGCTGTTTTTACATCTTTCTGACAGATATGAAAACATGCCTCAAAAGTTCTATTTGTCCATGGGATTTTAAAAGCGGTTAACATGGCAATGTATTTTTGCTAATACTGTACCCTGTTTATTTAACCAGTCTGAGGAGATTTAAACCACAGTGAATCTGCAACAATTATTACGCTCTGCCATGCTATCTGCAGCAATGATGCTTCAAAATGTATCCACTAAAATGCCAAAACTGATTAGAAAATTTTGAAATGGGCTCAATTTCTCCCTTTGAGCATAGATACATTTTGATAATTTTATGGCTTTGAGGCAGGGGAAATAGATATGACTGTGCAATATCCAGCAGGCAACTGCAGTCTACTTTATTTTTTAAAAAATAATTTTGTTTCGAGCTTTTCTTTAAGTTTCATTTATTTTTGAGGCTTGTTCTGAATTAAAATAGTTATCTAATAGAGAACAGAATTTCATCTAATTTTTGTGTGTGTTGTAAAAAGTTTTCTGCAAATCTGTCCTTAACCACAAAACACAAAACAAAAGTCTTCTTTCTTTTCTTTTCTTTTCTTTTGCTTTTGTTAGAAACAAACAAAAAAGACTGGGTGGGGTGGATAGGTTATTATATTATTTTGAAAAGCTTTATGTTTGCTAAAAATCAAACTTCAGATGGTTATGTTCATTGTTTCCTGAAGCATTTCAGATCAATACAGTAATAGTAATAGAAATCATCCAAAGCTAGCGCTTTCACATTTCTCTTCCACTACTCATATTCTGCTTGCATTTTGGGGTAAGACTTGCTCTGACAGTAGTAAAAACCATTGTGGTTTTGCATGTAGCTAGGAAGTTCTACAAAAAGGCTAGAGAGCCAGTTTGGTTTAGTGGTTAAGATACCTGACTAGAAACCGGGAGACTGTGTGTTCTAGTCCTGCCTTAGGCATGAAAACCAGCTGGGTCACTTTGAGCCAGTAACTTTCTCTCAGGCCATATCACCTCACGGAATTGTTGTTGAGGGAAAAATTGAAGGAGTATTAGCAATAGCACTTAGTCTTATATAATGCTGCACAGTGCTTTACAGCATTATCTGAGCAGTTTACAATGTCAGCATTGCCCCCCAAACAATCTGGGTCTGATTTTATCAACCTCCGAATGATGGAATCTTGAACTGGTCAGGATTGAACTCCTGGCAATGAGCAGAGTTAGCCTGCAATACTGCATTCTAACCACTGCACCACCACAGCTCCTTTGATATATTTGCTGCCTTGAATTATTTATAAACATAATAAGGATGGAAAATGAATGAATGAATGAATGAACGAACAATCTTAAGCAACACAGATTTAACATTTAACATTGGCATTCATGTTGTTGACGTACAATTCAGTACAAACTGAGTTCAAGATGCTCCTTTCCTAACATTCTTCTTTGTTTCTCGGCCCTGTTCTGCTGGAATAAAGAATGGCATTTATGAAAACAAAAGTCATAGGTCTTAAAGTGGTGATTTACAAACCTCATGTGGCAGGGATTTGTGAGTTTTGTGAGATCCTTCAGTAGGGCCGTGCTGGAGAATTTCTCCTATAGAATGAGCTCTTTGAGGTTCTTTCTTGTGACTGATCATGTTTTTCAGCTTTTCTTGGCACTCCTATTGTAACTTCATCCATCACACTTGCACAGATATGCTGTCTGCAAGAAAAAAAATAATAATAAGGATGGCTATTCAAAAATGGATCTGAATCTTTTATACCAGATCCCAACTTGGTCTTTTGTTTAGTCTTCAACAAGATTCAGTAACAGTTAGATTGTGAGTTTCATGTAGAAAGAGCTCAATATATATATTCAAATATATATTTGAAACCCACTGCTAATTTTTATGAGTCTGTTAATTTTTTTCTTTTTCTCTAATTCCTACTACATTTGCACTTAAACCAGAAGCCTTTTTTGCCCTTTATCAGTCTGTTCCTCTTATCCATCACCTGAAGACATGTTGTGAAGTCAGTATCATTATTTCTTCCATGGTGATGCATTGCAGTCTTTAGGACCTTGAGACGTGGCATCAGTGAATGAATCAAGTTACTACAAATGTAGGAAGTGCCTGTTCATCCATAAAGAAGCATAGTTTAGAAACATAGAGTCCTGCCATACAACTACTGAGAGAAAAAGAACTTCAAATTACATTAAAATGGCCACTAAATTATGCTTTGATCATTGTCCCCTGGTTGATAAAACTTCTAGAACCTTCTATTTTAATTTTTTAAAACTTCTCAACACATTCCTTTTTTTAAAAAAAGTTTTAAAATAAATGCTTCCAGCTTGTTTCAGCCACTGATATATTTTCAGTGCCATTCCTCTTGTTGATAGGACGTGCTAGAAAATTTGAATCATATGGAATCTTTTTAGCTTTAAAGGCTATATGTATACTGGATGTTAAGTCTGGCATCACAAAGGAATCTAAATGTTCCAAGTGTGCATGAACATGTATGCATTTATTAATGTGCATATACAAGCATTGCATGCACACACAAATGAAGACTCTCTTTCAAAGAATCTTAAAGTAGCAATTATCTCTATTATGTCTCTGCTTTGATTTATCAACATTGAAGTTGCTGCTGATTATCTGACATGTACTATTTCTGGAAGATCCAGCATATCATCTGGTAATTTTCTTCCAAGCATTAGGAGAAATCTGTGTCCTCTGGGCTTTCAGTAAAAAGTTATTTTTTAAAAAAGTATTCTTCTTCCAAGTTCTTGGCAAGGTGTAGTTATTAGGATGGTATAGAATACAAATTGATGGCTTGATTCGAAGGACATTTGATTAACTTACACATTCTAATTAAATCTGTTAACAGAATGTTCAAAGCATTGAATGAGTTCCCTGCAAATTACTTTTTTTAATTTATTGATTTAAATTAATTTTTTAATTCAGATATTCAATATGTCATTTCCAAAAATCGATGCCAGTATTTTTAAGCTGGGATGAGACACTTTCTATATTAGCACATTCTCTGCATATTTGCTGGACAATTTGGAGGCTGCTAGGTTTCATCCCAGCACAGAATACTTTAAAAATATATTAAACCACTGAAGTTATCTGGCTGAAATTTTACTGGGAAAAAGTATTGTAAAAGATTCATCATTTTAGCTATTTTCATCCAGATCTGTCAAAACAGAATCAGCTGAAAATATTCAGTATTTTACTGCTTTATAACTAATGATTTGATTTTTTTTCAAACTGCTTTGAATTGAATCTTGTTGCTTTCCAATTTCAATTTCAAATTGAATTACATCATATACATAAAATTTTAATACAGATCAGATCTTGGATTAATTATGTATCTTTATTAGTAATTTAGATCCCACTCAGTGTAGAATCCAAGAAACTGATCTTCATAAATCTGTGTATACTTTATCAGGTTAACTAGGATCCTTTCTCTTTCCTACTTTCTTACTTTCTTTCCACTGGGAGAAAATTGTTTATGTATCATTCATTAAAATATGCATCTAAGTTATGTACTTTCTTCTAAGAAACTTAATAAAGATGGGCAGCATATAAATTGAATGAATGAATGAATGAATGAATGAACAAATAAATAAATAAATAAATAAATAAATAAATAAATAAATAAATAAATAAATAAATAAATAAATAAATAAGATGATATCTTGAAGAAACCCAAAAGATTTTTTCTTGATAAGAATTTGCATATACTAATATTCTGTAGCAATAAAAAGAAACAAAATATAGCATGTAAAAAATATGACAACTTAGAAGCTGTGCTGCTTTTTCGTCACTATTTCTTTGGTTACAAAGGTTAACCCTTGCTGAAGCACTTGCATGGAATGGTAATTATTTTGATAAGTGTGCTAGTGCGTGTTTCTCAATTATTCTTGGTTATAGGAGCAATTGTACCACTAGACAAACAAAAGATAATGGAGATAGCCAGAGAAGCCCATGCCCTGCTATTCCTTCAGTCCCTAGCCATTCTCATTTCGTGTTCCCCAGATAATAGCATTACAAGTGTCAGATAAACTGCCCTGCAGCCCCTAAACTAGCTGTGTTCATTAGTATCAGAGTACTCTGTGGCATTTTCAAGGTTGAAATGTGATTCAACTGCCAGTCCAGTCAGCTTCTGTACATGGAATGGAATACAAACTGAAAGAAAACTTGGCTTAGCTTCTTGGCGCTTTTTCCTAACCAAATCAATTCACACATCCCACCTGTCACTTGATTAGCACCATTTACAGACCTAGTTACCTGGCTTTTCAGAGGAACAAGCCAAATAACTCATAAATTAATTAAGCATGGCTATTTAGTGAGGCAAAATCAAGTGAGAACCAAGGAGCAGCACACACTAGCATTCATAGTTACTTGATCTCATTAAATTCTGCTAGTGCAAAGGTTACCTCTGTGCTAAAGGGACATTCAGCTGACCTATGCAAAGGCAAAAAATAATTAATATTGAGCTTCATCCAGAAGATTTTTTTTCAAGAACAGCAAACTGAAAAAAATGAGATGAAGGAGAAAAATACCAATCAAGAGCTTATTTGTCTGATAACTAGATTCACAAGTCATTTGTTTTGTAGAT